CAGCGGCCTAGAGTTAAATGCATGTGCCCTTCATACCTTAGGCAGCGCAGCGTTCAGGGCTCGCGATGACGCGTCCTACCACGGGAACAGCGCACCAAGACCCTTGACGTGAACGCACCCAGGGACCCAGGGACGGGTATCGATTGGCGCTGCCAGTATAGGAGAATAGGAAAGTGCGCGCTGCCCTATCACACAGACTGATACCCTCCTCTTTTTCTATAGTTTCCCAAAACACTGGCGACCGTCGCTGTTTGATACAGTTTCAAAATATCTGTCGACCGCGGAGCCTTCCTCCTCCTTCCTTTTTCCTTCCTCCTTCCTTCTTTTTCTTCCTTCCTTCTCTCATCCTTCCTCATTATTTTCTTTCTCTAAATGCTCGACAGAAGATGCGATGAGCAAACACCTCTGCACCCTCACAGAGAGAGAGCATCCGGTTGACAGATGCCTTGTAACCGTTTGATATCGGTAGCTATGCTTCGTGCCCTCGCTACGCCAGCGTGCCGCTGGTGAAGCTAGATCGATATGCATCCTCTCTTCGGCACTGCCGCTGGCGTACGCTGGAAGCGCTACGCTACGCTGCCGCAAAGTATAAACGCAGCCTAAGGTCGCTCGTCAACGGTGTCATCGCGAACCGCGAACCCTGAACACCGCCCTATTCCATTATGACCGATGATACTAGGGAAGTTATTCTTCAAGAACAAGAGAAAAGGATGGGGAAGTTGTAAGTCTGCTTGAAAGCGGGCAGTTTTGACAGCTTCTGCACCGAATGTTTAGCAATGGACAGTTTTTGGAATCCCCTGTTGCAGTCCAGTCAAGTGCGTCAGGAAAAATAAATGATTTTTAAAGGTGGAAGTCGATGCTATAGCTGCATGTCGCGATATTACGGTGTCACCTGGCAGTTTGCCGGCTATTCAAGGATATATGTAGAGCCAAGGGCATTCACGGACTCCTGCCGGTACCTCTTTTTTTTCAGACTGTTATGAGGAAGAATTGTCGAATAATTCCCTTACTTCTCTTTAGGAATCCAATGACTCGAGGAGCTGATGTACCGTTCGCGTACTGCGGAGACGAGTCAAATTGTATTACTATGGTAGAAGACTTGAAAATAGGTAGGTTTTCAAGAATTTCGCGCTTCAAACTCGAGTTTTCCAATTCTGAGGATTTCGGGAACTCGTGCTGAGTCCAAGGGCACCCTCCGCCTCCTTGTAAAGGGAGTTCTACCTGGGCTCAAGCGCGCAGGTCCAGATATGTTTAGGCTGTATCACTCTCATCACCATAAACTGCGCGGTAAGTGTGCTGCGGACTTCCGATGGCCACAAACTCCACCCATTCGAGTAACCCATAGTCTTGTAATTACAACTGTAATCAGTTTTCTCCCCCTGCTATGACTACTGCCAGCATCCCTATCCGACTCGCTCGCCCAGTGCTGGAAACCAACCGGCTTTAATGGAGCATTCCTGGCTTCTTCCGTCCTTCGCTTAGGATTCTTTTTGCGAGTGCAAGTGCGGATGAGTAGAATTTTACTCGTCCGCTGCCGTAACCTGATCAGCTCTGCGTGGAGGACCAGCAACTAATCGAAAAATTTGAATCTTCTAATGGTGCCAATCCATCAGCTCTCTTTAAACCTCAGAAAGTCTCCGCAACTTTTCATTGTGACTTCCTTTTCCCTCCACATAAGCTCCTTTTAGAAACGCTTCAAGTGCTTTTCGGATCTTCAATATTTTTTTCAGAAGTATGGGCTGACACACATTATCTTGAGAGGTAGGCGGACTGTTTGAGCCCGGCTTGTGAGATTCATCTGGGGACATTCTCAGAAATTTGTTTGGAAGTAACCAAAGTGGGGATGAGTATTGCAACCGTTAAAGGCAGTTGGCACGATAAATCCCAGAAGACGAGTAGGATCATACGCCTGGCAGGATAGAATTCCGCGACCCTGGGCAGGCGCTGCATAGCGGTTTCCCCGAGGAAGGTGCCCTTATAAGGGCCCTATCAAGCCACAACTTTACGTCCCAAACGCCCGCCACGCCCGCCCGCCCACAAATGGACGACCGTTCCTGACGCTCGTATTCATTCATTTGCTAAGCAAATTATGAAGCGAAGGGATTGGTATGAAGCGGCCGTGATGCTGCATGCATACATGGGTACACATATGCAGCCGTA